CAAATCATTTTTGTTTGTGGCATTTATTTTCGGTTGAACTTTGAGTTATGAAAATAATCGGTAGCTATTTCTCCCGATTTGAGGGACATAATAAAATTTGCGCCCTATTAATTTCCGCCTATGCTGTGGGCCTCAGTTTCCTCGACTTAAAGTAAGGAGGTTGGATTAGATAGCGTCCGCGGGCTCCCGTACCGAGGACTCTCTGGTTCTTCGGTTCCTTTCTTATGCTTCTCGAGGAGAGGAAGGAGCACATCCCCCCGTCGGTAGTGACTTGCCACCGACCCAGGCTTGTCTCTGGTGGGTACTAATCGCCAGTCTCCTAGGGAACCAACAGAATCCATATTCACTGAGCCTGGGCCTTACCCAGAACACAGACAACTGGTCTCCAGGTGTCCCTTCCCCGTCCTCCTCCCCAGACCACCCCTACTCCCTCCTGACTCTTAAAGAGACAGGATGGCAAAGCAAACCCGCCAGGTGGGTGAGATGAAGAGCCAGGGTTAGGTAAGGGGCACCGTCCTTTGAGACTAAGGGTTTGGTTTACCCCCCACCCCCCCTGGAGCGCAGGCGGGGGGTGACCTCCATGAAGCCTTGAGTAGAGGAGGTTGGTGTGGCTGTATTTGTCACCCAGTGTCCGCTGGTCACCAGCACTTCGGCTTCTTTCCCACCAGCTGTGGAGTGACTGCCGCCTTGTCTCTTGCAGGCTGGAGGAGATCGATGGGTTCTTTGCCAGAAACGACGAAGAGTGCCTGGCCCTGATCTTTGAAAAGAAAGGCTCCTACCTGGGTAGAGAGGTGAGCTGCTCTCAGGGTCCTTGTAACTCTTGGATAGCCCTTGGGGGAGAGCCCAGTGAGTTCAGGAGCAGGGCTGTCCCCCAAATTCTTGGGTCTCATTCATGTCTCACTTATGAACCCAGCACAGGCCTGACCCCTGCTGGGAGAAACGGGAAGTGCAGCAGCTGGGTCTTTCTGTTTTAAAACCTTTGTATATATTTTTCTTTTTCTTTTTTAATCAAAGTGTAATCGACATGCAATATTATATTAGCTTCAGGTATACAACACAGTGAGTTGACATTTGTATACATTTTTAAATAATCACAATAAGTCTAGTTACCTCTGTCACCATACCAAGTTAATTCACTGTCACTGACCATCCTGTATGTCACGTGCCCTGCGTCTGTGTTTATCTCCTTCATCGAAACCAACCTCGATAAGACCTGCAGTTTATTGAGCGTTGGATTGGATGCTGGCACACAGAGTCGCTAATCTTCACGATTAACAATGACGAGCATGTACCATGTCGAAGATCACACAGCCATCGACTGCAGCACAGGCTTTTTGAACCGGCTCTGCCTGCCTCCAGAGCCCGTGTCATCTCCACACTGGCCCTCCTCTCATCCCCGTAGAATTGGAGTGAAATATATTGGGGGGAAAGGGGGGCGGATAACATCAGAGATCACGCAGTCCATGAGGAAGTGGGGTCCCTCACAGGGGAGGCAGTTACAGAACCAGGCAGGTTTGCAGTTCCACTCCATCACGTACATGATACGTCGTGATCAAGTTGCTCAGCTGTTCTGAGCCGCATTTCCCTGTCGGTGAAGCAGTGATAATTGCCTTTCTTCAGAGGATTGTTGGGAAAGTCAACTGAGGCAGTTTAGGAAAAGGGCCCGGATGCGTGGCTGGCACGGAGTGGGTGTGGAATGAAGATCCAGTCCCCTTGCCTAATGCAGAGAACTGTCCTTCCTGCCGCTGGCTCATGGACGAGGCCACGTGCGGGTCCTCCAGACGCAAAGGTGGGACAGGCCAGTGCATGGGAGAGGTGCCAGGGCAGCGCCCGGGGATGGAAGAGATGGGGGCGCAGGTCAGCACCGCTGTTGGCTCTGAGTGGCTTTCCTCCTGACACTCATCACGCTCAGCTGAGAGCTCTGCGTTGTCTCCAGGCCCTTCGCCCTGAGAAGGGAAGCACAGGGAGCTGTGTGGAGACATGCCTGACCCTCCCGGGCTCCCAGTCCAGGCCTGTCACATGCAAGTGATGGATAAATGTTCATCGGATCAGCTCTTCTCCCTCTCCCCCAAGTCCCCAGAGTAACCAGGAACAGGGCCCCTGCAGCCCGTCCATGGAGAGGTGCTCAGGGATGGGGATTCGTCTGAGCGGCAGGAGGGGGCAGGCCCAGGCTTCGCAGCCCGATGGCGCTCCCTGGCTGTGTGACCTGGAAACACAGTTCACCTCTAAGCCTCCGTTTCTTCATCTACAATAGTTTCTTTTTTTTTTTAAATGAATGCTTACAGTACCTACTCATTGTCATGAGCACGTTTATAAAATTAACCTATTCAATCCCCTAAAGTTGATATTGTTGTTATAATTCTGCAAGTCAGGAAATTGAGTCAGGGAGAGGTTGAAGTCAGTGGGACCAGGGTTCCAATCCAGGCAGCCTGGTTTGCTGATCGTTCCTGTTGCATAGGGTTATTTTGAAGATTAAATGAAGCAGCCTATATACAGCACATAACACATGCTCAATAGATGTTAGCTAATACCCTGTTCCCCTTCCTATTTCTTTCTAAAGATAAAACCATCATGACTGACTCGGTATGTTTTTCTGACTTGGAATACAGCTAGAAAACCTTATGAAAATAAGCGTAAAATGAGCCCACGTTCTGTTTTGCCTTTTACGAATTGCTTTCACTGGGAAGAAGATGATGTTAAATTGGGGCTGTCCTGGGAGATTCCGGATGTGTGGCACGCGCGGTTCCAGGCCCTCCCTTGGGCAGTGTTTGGCTCTTGTTACCTCTGGGGTGGATTTGGGTTGTGGCCGGAGACTCTGGCTCATCACAATAGTCTGTCATTGGAAAGGTGTAGAGTGGATGGCGCTGCCACCCAGGTGCGCGTCAGGGCCCCCTCTGCCCCGTGGCGTGGCCCCAGCTGTCTGACTGTCTCTGCAGGTGATTCTGGACCTGTCCCAGCGCGAAGGCATTGCGGTGCGCAGGGTCCTCAACACGGAGGGCGACGTGGTGAGCAAGTTTGGCGTCACCGACTTCCCGTCTTGCTACCTGCTGTTTCGGAACGGCTCTGCCTCCCGGGTTCCTGTGTGAGTGTGATCTTTCCTCCCAGTCTCCTCCCTCCCTGTGCCCATCCCTTCTTCCTGCTCCGAGAGCCTGCCGGCCTTTCTCAGGGGCTGACAGTTCCTCCCCTGGGAACCTTCCGAGGGGCCCATGGCCAGGCCAGGAGCACCCTCTGCAGGAGAAGCCGACGTCTGCCTGTGGGAGTGAGACCGTGTCGGGCCCAGAAGGCTGCCTCAGACCCCGGCCCAGGCATCGGGCCGCAGGCCCCAGGCACGCCCAGCATGGTGCTTCGGCACCGTCCCCACCGCAGCCCTGCCCCTGTCCTCCCGCCTCTGTCCAGACAGACGCGTTGGCAGGCTGCAGGCCTGGCAGGCACTCAAGTATGCCTGACCCTCCCTCCCTTTGGTTTCCTAATTGCAGAAAAGTTCATTAGGAGCCAGACAATAGCCAGTTCCAAAATGCCAAGAGAAACAATCAGGCCACCCTCAGCCCCTGTCAGGCTGCCGCTGCTGAATGGCCCGTTAAATGGCGCCAGATGGTGCCTCGGTGCCCTCCCTGGGCAGATGATTGATGTCGGCCTGGCCCTGCCAGCAGGAGCTCGAGGGCCGGGAGATCAAGGCTCGTTGGAGGTGCCCAGTGAGCTGTCCCTCTGGGCCATTAGTGCCACCCTGCTCTGAGGCTGGGCAGGGCGGCCACTTGCCCCGCTGGCCCAATCACCAGGCAGCCTGGGCCAGAGGGTGTCAGAGCGCTCTGATGAGGTGGGGGAGGGGACAGGAAGGACGCCTTTTCTGCACAGGCCCAGAAAGCTCCCGTACCAGCGGAGGGGGGGGCCGGGGGGAGGGCATTGTTTCCTCACTGGGAGCTGGTGGAGGGGAAAATTGTTTGTGACGACGCTGCTTCCGAGCCATCTGCTCGTTGATAAACATCGGGCCAGGTCGGCGGAGTGGAAAGCGATGCTTCCCGATGCCAGCTCCCCTGGGGTCCCCTCACACTGCCACTGTCCTCTCGGCTGCCCTCCCCGGGCCCGGGCCAGGGGACACCGCCTCCCCTGTGAACCCCTCTCTATCAGGAGAGAGAAAGAAATCTGAAGGATTTGAGCATGTTCCTGGTTTATCTGTTGCTCGCTTTTAAAAATCACCTCTGAAACTTCCGTGACTTCCTTGGGGAGCAGTGTCCCCTCTGGCTCCTCAGAGCAAGTGTGTGAGCGGCAGCTTCCTTGCAGTCAGCGCCACTTTGCACCTTTGGTCTCAGGAAGGTGTTGTCCTGTCCCTGGGCAGGACCACTGGCCCGAGGTGCTCGGCCCACCGCCTCTCAGGGCAGGCGAGCCGCGTTTGCACATAGGATTTGTCATCAGCGTGAACAGTGAATAGGAAGGTGGAAGTGAGGCATAGGTGCCCGGCTTTGACCTCACTGTGGCTGAGACTGAACCGAGTTCAGCTATTTCTTGGTGAACATTCTGCCTCTCCTCCGTGGCGCTCTCCCCTCGCAGGCTTATGGAATCCAGGTCCTTCTATACCAATTACCTGCAGAGGTTCGTGGCGCTCTCCCCTCGCAGGCTTATGGAATCCAGGTCCTTCTATACCAATTACCTGCAGAGGTTCGCTGGGGCCACCCGGGAGGCTGCCCGGACCACGGTTCCGCCAATAACTGCGAATACGGTCGCTCCCACCGCGTGGAAAGTTGCAGACCGGTAAGGCCACTCCGTTTCCCTCACCCTTCCCCACCCCAGCTTCCCTCTGCTCACAGACGTCCCTTCATACCACACCCTGTTCCTTGTCATGGGATGAGCACATGCCGTCCTAGCCCCGACCCCCGTGGCCTTTGGGGGCTCCCAGGAGAGCCCTGGATGTGTGAGCAGCAGCATTTCCTTGTATCCTGCGATGGAATGAATACTTCCCAATACCCACATTTCTAAAGCTTAACTCTCTTTAAAAACAAGTAGAATCGGCTTGGAAAGATCATCCGTGGCCTCCAAACCAGCCCCCCACCCAGGCAGTGATTTCTTCAGCAAGTCGTTTTGAGGGCTGCTGTGTGCGAGGCAGTGTGACTGCAGGTGCACCGGCAGCTGGAGTCCGGCCCACACAGTCCCTCCCCAGCTTCCTTCTAGAAGGCACCAACTTCACTTGAATGTTCGGGTGTCGGGAGCTCACTACTTAAAAAAAAAAAAAGATTTTTAAATTGACTTTTAGAAAGAGAGGAAGGGAGAGGGAGAGGGAGAGAAACATCAATGTGAGAGAGAAATTGACTGGCTGCCTCCTGCACGCCCTCCCACCGAGGATTAAGCCTGCACCCGAGAATCAAACCCGCAACCTTTCGGTGCACAGATGACGCCCAGCCACCTGAGCCACACGGCCAGGCGGGGAGCTCACTGCACGTGGCGGTGGCCTGTGTCTTTGCGCACAGTTGTAAGCAGGAGAAGCTACTCTTCTCTCTGCACCCCAGAGGTAACAAGAGCCAAACACTGCCCAAGGGAGGGGCCTGGAACCGCGAGTGCCACACATCCAGAATCTCCCAGGACAGCCCCAATTTAACATCATTTTCTTCCCAGTGAAAGCAGTTCGTAAAAGGCAAAACAGAACGTGGGCTCATTTTACGCTTATTTTCGTAAGGTTTTCTAGCTGTATTCCAAGTCAGAAAAACATACCGAGTCAGTCAGGATGGTTTTATTTTTAGAAAGACTCCGCTCTTGTGGTAGAATTCCTGCTTTTGGGGCAGGGGGACAAGGCCGTCAGCCTCTGTGCCGACACCCAGAGGCCAACCAAGCGCATTAGGAAGGGGGCTGCGTGAGGGAACGGGGAAAGGCCATCTGACTTGCAGGAGGAATTGGCACCCCAGCCTCGGGGTCTTCAAGGGTGGAAAGTGCCGACGGAGAGGATTTTAGTAAATCGGGAGAAGGAAAGAGACACGAACAGGTGGGAATGGTCGTCATGACCGTTCACATTGTGATTACTCAGAGCATTGGGGTGGTCCTAGGTGACAATCACTGGCCTCGTGTGTCACGCTTTGTGCCGGCACCTTCCATGCATTCTCCCTCTCAGTCATGAGGCCACTCCTCAGGCAGAACGTAAGGCTGGAGAGGTAAACTGAGGCCAGGGACACCACGTGGAGCAGACAGGAGACTCCACGAGAGTCAAGTGCAGGTGGTCACAGTGCCCCCCGCCCCCCCGTGAGCTGACCTTGTTGGCTCCTTACAACCTAGGGGGTAGGGTGACCCTGAGGCCCAGGGGGTAGAGTAAGGTGGCCCAGGGGGTTGAGTGAGGCGGCCCAGCTCCCAGAGGTAGCTCCCTGTAGAACTGAGGCCAGGACTCAGGTCTCAGGAGGCGGCTGGAGAAGCAGCCAGCACTCGAGGAGCTCTGGCCGTCAGCGCCCTGAGCCCAGACCCCAGTGAGTGTCTGGGCCCCAGGGTAGAGCAGCCAGTTTGGAGCCTGCAGCCTCCCCGGCTGGGTCAGCCAGGAGATGTGAATGGAGCCCCGCCCGCCCCGCCGTGCCCAGCCCTTTCAGAGCCACATTGTGTGGGACTGTCCATCTGTCCCTCAGGGTCTTTGTTCAGAACTGAGAATAAAACTCTACCTTCCTCGAGTGGCCTGGTTGAGACACCTTTAGTGAGTCATGGGAGGGCTGGCCCTGGGCTGCAGAGGGGAACCCCTGCTCCATGCCCGGAGCTGCTGGGGGCACGTATTTGTGTTTTTATTTCATCCCCGCAGCTGCCTACCTGTGAGCAGTTTATTATCCCATCGTACAGATGAGGGATTGAGGCTCACAGACATTAAATAAAACACCCAAGGCCACAGTTACTGGCAGAGGCCAGAGCCAGCTTACAGGACTCTGGGACCATCAGTGGTGGCCTTCCTGTCTCTCCCTTTGGCCCTGGGCCTCCTCCCCCCTGCCTCGTAGTTAACACCCCTTTCTCTCTCTGCCCCCTCTGGGTCCTCAGCTCCAAGATCTACATGGCTGACCTGGAATCCGCACTGCACTACATCCTGCGGGTGGAAGTGGGCAAGTTTTCCCTCCTGGAGGGGCAGCGCCTGGTGGCCCTGAAAAAGTTTGTGGCAGTCCTGGCGCAGGTGAGCGGGCCCTGGCCGACGTCTGTGCAGCTCCCCGAGGGCCAGTGCTCATGCAGCCCGGCCCCTCCCTCGGGAGCGCATGGTCTGGCTGGACATCTGACCCCACGGCTGTTCTAGGCCACCATGGGCTGCTGCCCTGCAGCCTCAGCCATGCCCGTCAGCCCGCACTGCCAGGGACAGCCCTGTGCAGGGGCAGGGGCGTGGGTGGGACGGGCCAGATGTCCGGGGATTTCCCAGCGGCTTCAGGTGTAACCCTGGAGCGTGGCCTCACTGCCTGCCGTGGTCACTGGGAAGCGGGACCCGTGGGCGCCGCAGTGAGGGAATGAAGCCTCCTCTGAATCGCTGTGCCCTCCCAGACACTGAGCAGAGCCAGACCCAGGTGCCAAGCCCGAACCGGGCCTTCTTCCTGCCCACGAGGCCACGCCCTGAAATGTAGCTGCTACAAATGGAGGACCTGATGTGTGCCAGGCACACGTGGCTGCAGGGTGGAGAGTGTCACCCCCAGTGAAGGGGCCCAGGATGCTCAGGAGCCTTGCCCGAGGCCTCCCCACCTCCCGGGCAGGAGGAGGTGTGACGGGATGTGAACTGAGCAGTCGGGCTCCAGAGCCTGTGCCTTCTGCCATGCTCCTTGCTCCTCTGCAGGTGGGATGTGGGCTGCCTCTTCCCTCTGCACCTGCCTGCTGCTCCCTCCCTGTGTCCTCTCTGGTTCCGTATCTGCCATGTGCCCTACTTCAACCCCTGGCTCTGGCCGCTGAGGGCTGCTGAGTCAGATCCGCGCTCCGGTCCCCTTCAGAGCCTGACCGCTGACTCAGCACTCTCAGCCCCGGGCGCCAGGTCTGAGCTTCTGGGGGCAGGTCTGCGGGCAGCCGGGGCTGCCACCTCTGGGAGTGACTGCACCTCTCCCTCGGGAACTGCCTGCCAGTCTGGTCCCTCTGCCCACCTGGCCGGCCTGGCCTCCCGCTCACTGGGCTTAGTCACGCCCATGTGTGATGACACGGAGGGCCCCTGAGGTCGCCAGTGCTCATCACAGTGCTGTTACCGTCCCAGGGAAGACAACCCTTGGCCCTGCCTGAGGTCCCCCCACACTGAGCCCTGTTCTCCAGCCCATTCTGATAATAGAGGCCTTTCCTCCGAGGCCCTGTGAGCTCGGTCCCCCAGTCGCTGAGGCCTGGGGTGGGTGGCCCAGAGAGTCAGAGGCAGAACGTCCTGGGTGGCTCTGTGTGCTGCCCACCTGACACCCAGGGTGCTTCGCAGGCGTCGCTCAGAAAGAGAAGAGCACCCCCCACCCCAGCCTGGTCCTCCACAAAGGACCGACCAGGGAAATTATGTCTTCTTTGGCCCCAGGGGGACTGTTTGCAGCCAGAGGGGAAGAATGGGTCCCAGGAAATGCTGGAGCCGGGCAGAGGCTTAAACAGCACCCTCTCGATGGCACCGGCTGAGCCCCTGTCCTCAGCAGGAGCTGAGAATGAGTTTGGGATGAAGGACCCCCCCACCTCCCTGCCCGAAGCCAGGGCTCAGAGAGGACAGGGCTGGCCTCGGCACAGAGGGGAGCCCGGCTGTGCAGGACTGAGAGCAGAGGGCCCGTTTGAGCCGGCCCACATCCCTGGAGACATCCGTGGAGACTGCGGACTATCTTGGCCCTGCCCTTCTGTGGGCAGCTTCGTCCTGCGCGGTGGCAATAGCAGCAGCTACGTTTCGTGAGCTCGGACAGGGTGCCCGTCTCTGCCAAGTGCTCTTTGTGTATTAGCTCCTTTGTAATTCTCATAGCAAACCACAGGGTGGGGATCCCATCTCAGGGAGGGGAGGAAGGCCCCGGGAGGAAAGCACCCTGTCCCAGGCCCTCCAGCCAGTGGGCGGCCGAGCTGAGACTTGCACCCACATGTCATCCAACCCAAGCCCTCACCCCCCACGTGCATGGGGCACCGAGAGCATGGAGGGCCGCAGTGCTCCCTCTGCCTCAGCCCCGCTGTGCCTGGTGGAAGGCACTCTTATCACCCCTGCCCCTGCCCGCCTGAGCTGGGGTGCTCCCTGCTCTCTCACGTGAGTGTCTGGCAGGACTGGCCACTGGGTGGCGTGTGGTCACCAGGGTTTCCCTGCTCTCAGCAGAGAGGGTGCCTCCCTGTCGCCCAGAGCCCCTTAATTCATCCTCCCCCCTGACACCCTGGCCTTAGCGGGCGGGAGGTTCCAAGTCCGGATGCCGGCGAAGGTCAGGGAGGGATGCTGACTTGAAGCTGTAAATCTGTGCTGAGAGCCAGAGCTGTGTGAGCTGAGCGAGAGGCAGCGTGTCCGAGCCCAGGGTTCTTCCCGGTTCTCCTCCCTCGGGGACGTGTCCCGACCAGGAGGGCTGATAAGATTAGGGAATGGTTTTCCCAGAAGACTGGCCGGTTGGCAGGTTTTTCTGTTTATGATCCTTCCGATCTCCAGAACCTTTCCTCTCTCACATGGTCCTCTTTGCTCGAATTGTCCTCTGCGGGCTTCTCGGTGGCGTCCTCCTGACCTGCTCAGCTGTGCCCCTCACTCCTGCCCCGGCCCCCGTGCATTTGTGCACAGGCACTCGCACGCACACACATATCTGTCCTCCTCCCCGGGGTCCCCGTGGCTTTAAAGTGCTGATACTAATCAGATTTGAGCTGACTTTGTCAGAGCAGCTTTTCGTGTTCCTCAGAGACTACTGGGAGTTGCCATCAAGATTGGGATCTTGGCTATGAGCCCGTGGGCGGCTTCGGCCCCACTGGCAGCGTGGAATACAGATGAAAGGCTGTTTGCCAGCCTCGCCCAGCCGGTCGGTCAGTCAGCCAGTCAGCTGCCCTGTGCAAGGTCCCCAGGGTCCCAGCAGCCCTCTGGCCCGTGGCAGCGTGCGGTCAGGGGTCCACACAGGAGCCCCAGCCTCGGGAGGAGGAGGCCTTCAGGGCGCAGCCCCACTTCCAGCCTGTCTCCTCCCCCCACCCTTCCTCCGCCCCTCACCAGGTGCCCAGAGCCAGGGTGGTGAGGAGCCACATCTGTGTCTTAGGCAGAATGTTTTCCCGCCTTGGCCCACTTTGCCCCCCGCCCTGGGGCTGGGGGCCCCTGGGGGATGGTGTCTCACCTCCATCTTGCACTGGTTTCTCCCCTAGTACTTCCCCGGCCAGCCCTTGGTCCAGAACTTCCTGCACTCCGTCAACGACTGGCTCCAGAAGCAGCAGAGAAAGAAAATTCCCTACGGTTTCTTTCAGACTGCCCTGGAAAACAGGAAGGAGGTGAGTCGGGCAGCAGTGGAAGATCCTCTCCCATCTCTGTGACTGTGGGAGTGGAGGGGTAACGCTGACCTCTGACCTCTACCATTTGCATTCAGGAAGGAATCAGTGATCTTGGGTCTTTCCATTGCTCGTTAGTAAGTTACTATCGAGCTCTTTACATGCATATCTTAATCCCCCAACATTAATTGAAGGCGGGTATTGTCCCCATTTAGCAGATGAAGAAACTGAGGCAAAGTCACTTTCTAAGCCCATACGTGGTTGGGTTGGGATTTAAAAGCGATTGGGAGACACCGGTTGTGACCATTTTTAACAGCTGCCCCCTGTGGCCTCCAAGCACCCGGGCCTGCTCGCTCAGCGCGGCTCCTCTGTGCCTCTCCAGGGGCACCGCTCACGCCGCTGTTGGTGAAGGTGGGCCAGGGCAGCCAGCAGAGGGCAGAGCCATACAGACTTGGAGGATGTCAAAGCTGGACAGTAAACCTCCAAGACCAGCCCCTCGTTTTACAGATGGAGAAGTTGAAACTAGAATAAGCATGTGACTTGATCTGCGTCACAGCTTTTCAGCTCTGATGCTGCTTTGGGGGGTGTGGCCAGAGGAAGGGAAATGCCACCCTCCACGTGGTGGCCTGAGAGAGGGAGCTCATTCGTCGTAGGGCTGTGAGCAGACCTTCCGGTCTCCTGGAAGCTTCCCTTCCCACCTCCATCCTTTCTCTTCTCCGTGTGTGCACTCACGTTCATCTGTGTCCCGTAGGGCGTTGTGATTGCCAAGAAGGTGAACTGGGTCGGCTGCCAGGGGAGCGAGCCCCATTTTCGGGGCTTTCCCTGCTCCCTGTGGGTCCTCTTCCACTTCCTGACCGTGCAGGCAACACGGCAAAATGTCGATCGCTCTCAAGAAACAGGTAAATCCGGGGCCTGAGCACCCCCAGGCTTCAGCCTGGCCCTGTCCTGCCTCCACTGGCTCCCCGCTGCAGGCCCCTCTTTAGGGGATTCTGACACAACCAGCATGGGACCATGGGGGGACCTGGAGGAGCCCCCCTGTCCTGCCCCCTGCTCTGGGACGGTGCCCCACAAACTCGGGCCTCAGGCTTCTCCCTGGCTTCCGTGGAGCCATAAGCTTGCTTTGTTTTCAGTCTTCGTGAAAAACGAGTGGTACCATCTTCTATACTCCTATAAAGAAAAGAACTGCGTCTGTTTCACAGTTTACATGGCTGATACTGTGTGCTTTGAACAGTTTTTTTGCTTCCCACTGAAAAATCATTTTCTAGGGGAAGCTGGGGGACACCTCGCCCCTCCCGTCCTGATCCCTCCCCAAACTGTGCAGCTGCAGCTGCGCTCCACGGCCCGCCTGCCTCACCCCTCCGCCTAGCGACCAAAAGGGTGGCTAAGTCCAGTCCAGTCCACGTTTACCGGGGACCAGGGTTATGTCAGGCCCTGGCTCAGTCTGGAGGAGGCGGAGGTGGAAAAGAGACAGTCCCTGCTCTGGGTGGAAGGTGGGACAGGTGGGAGGTGGAGCGGGCCAGGGCCAGGGCCAGGAGCCAAGGGTAGGGGGGCGGAGAAGGATGTTCAGAGAGAAAGGAGGTGCTCCCCCTGTCAGGAAGGGTAAGCGGTGTTAACCTAAAAATAACAGGCCAAAGGGAGAGGCAACAAGCACTTATTTGAGATTTTTTAAAAAGGATGAAAAGAAGACCTATTTGGGAAACACTGATTCGGGTAGAAACCCAAGTATGTGCTGATTAGGGAGCATTTATGAGGACGGGAAGGGGAGCAGTTACATCCGTGAAGGAGGCATTTCTGTTGGTGCAGATCAGCCAACATAGAGATGCTAATTCTAAAGAAGGTTTTTAATTTCCAGTCTGGGAGCCATCGGCACAGTAGTCATATCTTTGCTTTGTTTTTTTGTCATATTTGCAAGCAGTTCCTTGAGACATAATGTTGCCTTAAGCCCATTCCAGAGATTTGAGGCCAAAGACGGGCACAGCAGCTCCTCTGGGATGGCAGCTCCAACTCCGTTTTCCAGTGGCTCCGTTTATACTGTGTTTTATAGAAGAGCAGGAGTTGAGCTCGGAAGGAAGAGCATCCCATCCCCAACAGAGACAGAGGGAACTAGGGGAGCTGCCGGCTGTGGGGACAGCCAGCCATCACTGTGTCAGCCAGTGTTTACCGAATGTCTCCCATGTGCCGGGCCCTGCCACAGCGGTGGGCACAGCGGTACGGGGTGGAAGTCCCTGTCCCAAGGGGACAGTATTCCAGTGGCAGGAAACGACAGTAAACGCACAACAGACCATTCCGTTATGACGATGATGAGTGCTGTGAAGAGGACAGAGCCAAGTGGGGTGCGAGAGGGCCCAGGGGAGGGGCTGCTGTGTTTAGAGGGGGCTGAGGGAGGCTGTTCGGGGGAGATGACCTGTGCTGAGACCTGCATGGGGGCAGGAAGCAGCTGTGAGACACCTGGGAAGAGAGCCTTCTAGACCGAATTGGTTTGCTAGGCCGCCATGACCAAGTGCCACACGCGGGGCGGAGCGGGGGTGGGGGGGCGCTTAACCAACAGAAGTTTATTGCTCACAGTTCTGGAGGCTGGAAGTCCAAGGTGAAGGTGTTGGCAGGGTCGGTTTCTGCTGAGGCCTCTCCTGGGTTTGCAGGTGGCCATCCCCTCCCTGTGTCTTCACTGTGTGCGTGGCTGCGTCCAGGTTTCCTCTCTTACAAGGACACCAGTCAGGACACACCCTAATGATCTCATTTAACGTAATCACCTCTTTAAAGACCCTGTGTCCAGATACAGCACGGGGTTAGGACGGGAGTTAGGACTTCAGCACAGGGGTTTTAGTCAGCCTGTCACACCGGCCGAGGACTAGGGTGCAGAGCACAAGTCTGGCATGGAGGGAGGCCAGAGGGAGGCCAGTGTGGTGCAGCCTGCAGGGAGAGGCAGGACAGGAGGTGGGCGCGGGGTTTGGACCGGTTTAGCATTTCGAGAACCCTTGGTGAGTGTAAGCAGGGCACGATGCGAATGATCAATGCCTGAGAAGGATTCCTGGGTGGAGGGTGGGCTGCAGTGGGGGAGGTGGCGGCAGGGCAGCCCATTGCGAAGCTGTGGCTCCGGTTAGTCCAGGAGAGGCGGTGGAGGCCCAGACCAGAGCTGGAGGTGTGCACGTGGAGGAAGTGGGTCGGACTTGGGGATATTTTGGAGGTGGAGCTGATGGGACTCAGAGATGGATTGGGTGAAGCATATGCATGATCTAGGACTCAGGGTGGACCCCGGAGTTGTTGGACCTGAACATGTGGCAGATGATGGTCCTGTGAGCCGAGAAATGGGAAGACTCGAGGCCGGGGTGGGGAATGGGGAGTGGACGGGGAGGGAGGGGCAGGGAAGTGCCCATGAGACATCTGAATGGAGAGGTAGACAGTTGAGTCTGGGGTCCTGGGGAGAGGTCCAGGATGCAGATGCACATCTCGTGGTCATTAGCACACAGGGGACAGTTAAAGCTGAGGACTGGGTGAGCCCATGGGGGGTGGGCAGAGAAGAGGGCGGAGGCCTGAGCTCTGGGCTCTGCAGCATCTGGGCCTCGGCTCGCAGAGCAGGGCCAGCAAAGGAGACGAAGAAGGAGCAGCCCCTGAGGTCTCAAGAGGGCGTCCCCAATAGAGCGATTCAAGGAGACATAGTCAGCCGAGTGGGTGCCCTGTGCCGCTGGGCTGGGGACCTTTCTGGCAGGAGTTGTCTGTGGTTTAGTGGCGAGAAGGGCCTGGTTGGATTGAGCTGGAGAAGACGAAGAGCAGGGGAGAAACTGGAGATAATGGGGGAGTCACTGGGGTGTAACGGGTGAGAGAAGGGATTTCATCACTGAAGTTGGAATGATGTCATATTAAGGGAGAAGGTGATGATGCAATAACAAAATAAGATATTTGCAGGAGTAAACTCTTAAAGGAGGTGAGAAAGGGAGGAGGCCCGAAGCTTGCAGCCGGAGGAAGTGAAGCCTGCTCCAGTCCAGTTAGAGGGTGGTGGCCGACAAGGGTGGATGCAGGAGGAGAATGCCAAGGCATGGCTGGGTGTGGGCACTGAAGCTGCCAGGAACAATGGCCTGGCCGTGGGGGTCAACGTGCTGATGACCCAGTCGATGGAGGGGTGAGACTAGATCCCTTTTGAAGGGCTGGGGGTTTTGCAGCAGAAGGAGCAGCCTGAGGCCACTCCCCTGCCTCCAGCCCTCAGGTATATGGAGGGGAAGTAGGGTGGGGGGGGCATTGGTATCTTCAGGGAGGAGCCCAGTGTCAGAGCAGGAAGGTGGGGGGAATCATCAAGCCTGTGCTGATGCCAGTCCACAGGGCCCATAGGAGGGAATGGGGTGGGGGGTACGGGAGGTGGAGACACATTAGAGGGTGTGCAGGCCAGATCAGGATGGACTCCTGGTCCTAAGCCCAAGGGATGAGGTGCAATGGGGAGCAAGTCGGAACAGGAAGCCTAAAGCAGTGGGGCCACGGGGGGGCGGAGGGCAGAGGGGTTGAGGGGTGGGCGCTCTGGCCCTGCCTCCCTCTCTAGCCACTTCTCAAGGAGCCTGTGTGTCCTGCAGACAAGTTTGGACTTTAATAAGTGACAGGGCCTGCGTCAGTGGCAGAGGTGAGACACGGGGGGTTAGGAGTTTGGGAGGAGATGGAGTCAGCTCTAAAGTGACCCTTGGGAGGTGGAGACCAGTAGGCAAGGAGACCCTAGGCGCCTCATGGGATGGGCCGGGGTGTGGGGTCCCCGTGCAGAGGCGGCCATGTGGGCCGGTGGAGGGAAGGGGGTGGGCTGGCAGGGGCAGACAGTCTGAAGGGCCCCTGTGAATGGCGTCTCCTCTCCCCACAGCCAAGGCCCAGGAAGTCCTCCAGGCCATCCGGGGCTACGTCCGCTTCTTCTTCGGCTGTCGAGACTGTGCTGGCCACTTTGAGAAGATGGCTGCTGCCTCCATGCACCGGGTGGGCAGTCGGGACAGCGCTGTTCTCTGGCTGTGGTCCAGCCACAACAAGGTCAATGCTCGCCTCGCAGGTAAGGAAGGGCCACCTCCAAGGCCGGAGTCACCTGCGGAAGGAGGATGAGGGGGGGACTTTGGAGTCCTAGACCAGAGTTAGGAGATGGGACACTTGTCGTCCCCCAAGTAACAACACCCCTTGTGTCACAGCGCTTCACAGCGCTCAGAGCCTTTCACATGTCCCAGTGGCTGGAGGGGTGAGACTAGACCCATTTATGTGTATCAGTACCATTACACCCATTTTCCAGATGAGGAAATCAAGGCTTTGACCCTCTAAGACAGTGGTTCTCAACCTTCCTAATGCCGCGACCCTTTAATAAAGTTCCTCATGTTGTGGTGACCCCCAATTTCATTGTTACAAATTGAACATAATTAAAGCATAGTGATTAATCACAAAAACAATATGTAATTATATATGCGTTTTCCGATGGTCTTAGGCGACCCCTGTGAAAGGGTCGTTCGACCCCCAAAGGGGGTCTCGACCCACAGGTTGAGAACCGCTGCTCTAAGACCTGCTCTTCTGATGCCCTTGCTCCTTTTCCCCTGCACCAGGGCCCCTCCCTCTGGCCTGGTGGGGTCCCTTTCCTGTCTCCCAATCCTGCTTTCTGGCTATTGGCCCCTTACTCAGACCAACAGGAAAGTGAGAGCTGGGCTTTTCAAACCCCCCCTCCCCCCTCGGGAGGAGTCTAATGATAAAATGGGCTGGAAAAGAAAGACCAGGTTCTTTCTAGAAATAAGGACTGATTTCACCGGGGGGCCTGGCCTGCTGAGTTCCCTCGTTGGCAGTGCTTCTGTTCCCTGGGCACAGGAGTCTGATGGGTCCAGTAGGCAAAAGCATTCATCTCCGGGGTGACCAACTGGCAGGTGGGAGGGAGCCATCTGTGGGCGGGAGCCTGGGCTTGTCTGTGGGGAGAGAGGAGTATGCGTGCCTGGGACAGACCACAGACA